GAAGCTGAGAAGCAACATCTTCACCTTTAGCCTCCACAGCGGATACGGCGAATCTGTATCTCTGTTGAAAAATCTTGTAGTCTTCGTCCCTGCGCTCAGTAAATACTCAGCTGGCAAGCCCTGCGTCTGCGAAATATATCGGATCTGTAAGAGAAGGATAAGAAAGAAGCCCAGATTTATCTTGCCGGGATCTGTAGTAGGTTGGGGGCTGGAATAGGGGAGGGGGGTCTTTAGGTATCTAAAGCAGCAGAAGAAATAATGGGAGGAAATGGGAGTGAGGGCATGGAAAGTTTGCCTCAAACCAAGGACTGAAAAGGAAGGCAAGGGCCCACAAACTTTAACCATTAGTAATATTTATGATGTATTAAGAGACTAAATAACTAGGTGCTATAAAATTATCTTTCCTTCTGCAGTTAAACTCCACCACACTCCTCCTTTAGCCTTTGAAGCCTGCGGACATACGTTGCTTTATCCATAAACTGCAAAGATAAAGGGAGAGCAGTGAAGGTATAAGAGTGTGCGTATGCCTTGCGGGCATGCTTTATTTGCCAAAGAGCCTTTTACAACTTTGGCTTTGATCCTCAAATGTTAATTTCAGGAAGACTTGTTTGAGCAAGATGCCATGAAGGCCTGGTTGTGTCCCTTCTGCCATCTTTTTCCAAATGAAAGAAGTTTAGGTCTGTATGTTCCATCCCACCAAACAGCTCTCACCACGGACAGCTGGTAGTCCCAGGGCACATCCTACATGAAGATGCAACCAACCACTTCAGTGGGGTTCAGATGAGCATCACAATGTGGATAGGAAGGCATAAGAATAATCGTCTACACCCCTAGACAAAGAAGCTGAGGTCATGTGCATCCTTTGGGTGCAGCGGCCCCCAGGAATAAATCCCTGGAGTCCCTGGTTTTAAAAAGAAGCAGACTGAGACTCTGGAGAGCTGCTGCCTGTCAAAGTGGACAGTACTGTGCTGGATCAATAATCCAACCTGGTACAAAGCACCTTCCTAAGTACCTATTAGCTATATGAGCAGAAATCTGTTTCCATGGAAGGCTCTTTTTTGCCAGATTGGAGCATATTTGCTGAATTTGTGGTATGGCCATTAAAACTCTTCTGTCTGCTTGCCTCGTAACATGAACCTATTTTATACTGCGAATGTGTTCTATTTTCTTTTGACTGTTATTTGATTGGTTCTAATATTTATAGAGCTGGTGCCAATTATCATAATACTGTCTACTGGTTTAAGCTGCCATTTTTGTTTTTTATATTATTATTTCATTATTGTGCAACGAACAAACAAACAAATTTCTTGAACACAAGCAAGGAGGCGAACTGGGGCTTTGCACCGACCATCTTCCAAATGTCGCCTCTAGAAAAAGTCTCAAAGACCGTGGCAGTGAAACTGGGGAACTGGGAAAGGCAACCCCAAATTTTGAAAAACTAGATTTTGGCTGCGTAGACTTTTGTGCTGATTATAGTCGCAGATATTTGGCATTCAATGGATGGTTGAGCAAAAGGTAGGGTTGCCACCATTTTTTCTGGCCTTGCTCCTGTTTCTTTAAGCAGCAGCCCGATAAGCAGAAAATTAAGCAGGCAAAATGCTCTGCAACATGGAGAGAAGCGATGGGCAAGGCTTTATCTGCTTAATTGCCTTTGTGTCGTACCACTGATAAAGGCACTGGAACAAAACAGGTGATAATGCCAGTAACAGGCTCACCAACTTTTTTTTCTGAGAAGCTCAACAGCTGCTTGACAATAAGCAAAGTTTTTGCAGACATTTTCCCCATGACTGTGCTACCTTCAGTGTTAAACCGAACGGTGGGCTCCTAGGAAACAGCCTAGCCCAAGGATCTCCCTGCCCTTTGACTTAGGCCTCTGCTGCTGCCCCTCCTACGGCGATGATGCAAGAGGAGTGTTAACGTGAATGAGCGCTCACTTGCTTCTCAATCCTTAGAATGGGAATGGGGAACTTGCAGCCCTTCTGAGGTTCTTGGACTACAATTCCCATCATCCCTGACCTGGGTTGGGGCTGATGGAAGATGGAGTCTAGCCATGCCTGGAGGGCCACAGGTTCTCCCCCTCTGCCTCAGAACATGTCCTCAGTGGCAACAAGAGGCAACTGATACTGCAATGTAGATAACAAATAAACCTGCATTGATACTTGCTGTTACAGTGGAGTAAGGATGCCTGCTTTGTTCACTGTTTGACCAGACACCCATCTACAGAGCTTCCTAGCCACCTGGAAGTTAGACTCTTGCTTGACAGATCACCTAGGCGGCCAGCCCTTAAAGGCACAGTACTACCAAAACACTACAGACGAACAATTAAAAAGCGGTCTCAGGAGTTAAAAGTACAGGTAAGGTCATTTCAAGATAGTAAGGAACAGCGAAGAGGAGGAGGAACATAAAGACATATGAAGATAGAAAAGGACTAGAGTCATACACAATCTTTGTCTTTATGGGCACTCCTGGTCCAATACCAAGCTGGCTTTCCACTCTTAACTCCCAATGCAATAGATAAAGAGGTCTCACCACAGAGTTAAAAAGGTACAGAGTGGCACTACTTGTTGAATTGGGGCCATGCGGCCCCTTGGTGCTGCAGTGGGAGATAAGAGAACGTAGTCTGAAGTTACATGAAACCCCCACCTTGATGAAGGCAAGCTGGGCTGATGCTGGTCAGTGACTGGGTGACCAGTAGGAAACCATATCTGGGCTGCCTTGGGTCCCATGGTGGTGGAAAAGTGAGATATAAATGCCAGATCAAGCAATCCACCCACCTTGTTCAACACACTCTGGCCAATGAAGAATCATGACCAATGGCAGCTCAGTTTCCCCCCTGAAACTCCAAATTGCATGTCACTCTTGCCTCCCCCCCCCCATTCCCTCCTCCCCTCAATCTCTATGGGAGGAAAGTACGCACCACTCTTGCCCAAGTAAATAAAAGAGGCAACAATACCAACCTGGTCGTACTCTGAAGCTCCTGGATATAGCGGCCAGCCCAAGAAAAGCTCTGCAATTACACACCCCAGAGACCACATGTCAATTGCTTCACAGAAGGGTAAACCGAGGATGATTTCAGGGGCTCTGTGGAAAGACAACAGGAAAGAGAGAGCGCATTAGCTACTGCAAAACATAGCTGTTTCATTATGAGATGGACAGGGGTGAGGGACCTGTAACCTTCCAGATGTCGCTGGACTACAACTCCCATGATCCCTGACCGTTGGCCATGCTGGTTGGGTCTGATGGGAGTTAAAGTCCAACCACATTGGACATCAAATAGACCGTTTGTGTTCTACAGGCATCCTGCAATAGAAAAATAAGGCTTATATTGCAATCCTACTAGTTACGCTTACTCAGAAGTAATCCCAACAGGACTGACTGACAAGTAAGTGCATGCAAGATTATAGCTTTAAAGCATTTATTGTGCAGATGACTATGGGTATAAATAAAAGGGGAAAAAGGACTAAGAGGTCTCAAAGGGCCACCCTCCCCCCAAAAAAGTTTATTAGAATTGTTAATGCCTAGCAAGTTTCGGGAGGAAATTACTTCTTTGATGCAATTTTTAATGCTGCAACACTACAGGAAAAAGATACAACTGAGACTTCTTCATTGGCCAAAAGGCACAGAAAACCTGTCCATAAAAAGGTGTTAACTTCTGTTGCTAGAAACAGGAGTATTATTATTATCTATTTCATTTCTATGCCGCTTTATACTTTTAAGTTAAAAAATCTCAATGTAGTTTACAACCTACATTAAAACATCCAATAATACAACAATCCTGAATAAAACATTACTGAAAAAAGTTAAATATAAAGTATACATTCAAAGCAACATAATTAACGGGAAATAAAAATAGTATCTTAAAGGTTTCAAAAGGAAACATTACAAAGGAGGTCAAGTACAGAATGCACATTTAACGCAGCAAAGTTCTAAAAAGAAAACACCTTAAAACATTTCAAAAGAAAACATTCCTAAATGAAGTCAAAAATAAAATGTACATTTGAGGCAGCATAATAAGCAAGAGCATGGCCCTGAGCTGAAGGAACAACCCCTTTTAGAAACTGATAAATTACTGCACAGAGGTTTGTTTGTTTTTTAGTTTTGTTTTAGTGGCTGATATACAACTATTTATAATATTTATTTCTGATTTGTATTATTGGAGATTAAATGTTTTTTCCTCTCTCTCTGCTGCTGCCATTATTATTATTATTATTATTTTGTGGGGAGGCTATCCTTTCTTTCCACTATATATGCAGCACTCAGGTTCGTTACTGTAAGCTGCTTTGAATACATTTTGGGATAGCAATGTAACCTTAGATTAATGACTACAGGCCAGTTCAGATATTTTCTTCCATTGTAAGAGCGGTCCCATTTTGTTTAACAGTGTACGGTGAGATCTCCCAGATCTCAGCTGCAGCAGGATCCACAATCTGTAAATACTGGGGAGAGGTATGCATTTGCTCAATTTTCACTGCAGTATCCATAGTTAAATTCATTATCTTTCAAACCCAGGAAGTCAGATTTCTTAAAACACACACACACACACACACACACACACAACCCTGCAATCAGTAAGTTGACAAGAAGCTAGACCTTAGGAAAATCCCATGGGGGGGGAAAGGTCAGCTCAGCTAGTCTCCAAGCCCATTCAAGCCTTTGACAGACAGCCAAGTGTTTCTATCTCCCCCCTCCCATCCTGTCTAGAGTCCCTTTTACATTTCTTTGCGATGAATATTTAACCCGTTTTCACCAAAAAGGGAAAGTCTTGCTTGAAATTATTGAGACCCAGGTTCACACACATGGCAGCTTAACTGCTCCTCAGACTGTAACCATGTGCATGCAAAAAAATTCAGAGATTCTGTATCTTTAGTATTTGTGCAATAGACGGCATTTTGGCCGAAGCATGCAGGAGTAAGGAAAGCTGCACCTACCAAAATCATATTGCTAATATGTAAGCCCTGTCCTCCTTTACATCTGGTTGCTCTTAGCAAAAGAATATGAATGCCTGGGATAGCTCAGTTGGTGGAGCGTAAGACCTTTAATCTCAGGGTTGTGAGTTTGAGCCCTATGTTGGGTAAAAGATTCCTGCATTGCAGGTGTTGGACTGGATGAGCCTCAGGGGTCCCTTCCAACGTTTCAATTCTATGATTTCATGACCTGCCACACAGTCAGCTACTGAGCCTAGGAAAAAAACTATGGCTGTACTCAGGTGATCCTCCAAATTACTGTTTACAAGATCCTGAAAAAGCACTGCTCATATTCTCCTCTCCTCCTCCTCTTTGGCACGGGGTTTAATTCATTGCCTTCAGTTTTAATCAAACCACAGTTTGCTATCATCATGCCCCCAACAGGAAACTGTGGTTTGCCTGGTTTTTCCATACCAGGATTGCAAACCACAATTTGATCTTGGTTTGCAATCTTGGTCTGGAGCGATCACTTGAACCACAGTTTGTTGGTTTTGTTGTACAGCAAACTATGGTTTGAATTAAACAGGATGCAATGAATTCATCCCTAGGCATGAGAGGAGAAGGGAAGGAGAAATGTGCAAACAAATCCAAGTTTGGAGGATTTGCTGAAAGCAGTTCAAGCAATATTCTTTTTAGGCACTAGTTAAGAGGAATAAAAGAGAGCAGCTTTCCCTCACACCCTTGTAGTGAAACTTCACCACAGAAAAGGTTGCTGTCTGCAGCCATGGGGCTGAGGGTGAAAGCAAAAGCACAAGAGCAATTGGGTATATACAGGGTGAGTCTTTTAAAAGAGGCCCCATGGAACATGTGTACAGTGGTACCTCAGGTTACATATGCTTCAGGTTACAGACGCTTCAGGTTACAGACTCTGCTAACCCAGAAATAGTACCTTGGGTTAAGAACTTTGCTTCAGGATGAGAACAGAAATCGTGCTCCGGCGGCGTGGCGGCAGCAGGAGGCCCCAATAGCTAAAGCGGTGCTTCAGGTTAAGAACAGTTTCATGTTAAGAACGGACCTCTGGAACAAATTAAGTACTTAACCTGAGGTACCACTGTATATGCTCCATAGGGCTCTGTCCAGATGGGTTAATAAGGGCTTGGGTTGAGCTCCTCTTCTCTCTCCTCACCGTCACCAAAAAAATCTGGTGCTGGACCTGCCTAAAGGCACCATTACTCTAGATCTTATACTGTATGTTTCCACCTGGAAGAACAGTTTTTCAGCTTTCCACTTTGGGTGGTTTGATGTATATACACAACCCCAACGGATAGGAGCGAGACCCTCTGTGAACTGCCTGGAAAACACATCCTTCTGATGTAAAATAATCAATACGAACATCCTGTAACTATCCACTTGATCACTGTTTGTATCTCAGAAGGGAATAGAGAAGCTTTCATGAACACAGCACAGCATTCGCTTCAAAAGGATTCACTTGCAATTTTTTCCAGCCCCTTTTCTGTGTGTGTGTGAAATTGCAGCTTGACGCGCTTCTCAGCGCAAAGGAGGAGACTTTTCCCCACCCACTTACTGCTGAGTTATCAAGCTCATCTGACAGCTTATTTGACCGCACATGCTCAGGCAGTCTAAGCTAGTAACCAAGTCTCTGCAACCAGCCTCTGGGAACACAGCCTGAGAGCAACTTGTTCTCCTGTCGTATCAATGCAATTATGCAAAGCAAATTCCACAGTCTGGTATTCCACTGCATTTGGGAAAATACACAGGCTCCCTAGAAGCCTGGTCCTCTGGGTTGGAGCACACCAAATCTGCACCATTTTTTAATGTTAGGATCAGTGCATTGGGCTTACATCAAGGGAAACGAGACTTTGCTGCGATACCTATCTATGCTGTACATGCCTTCTTCCACCATGTTCTAAACTTCTTGTCCTGAAAGGTGGGAGATTTTGTGCATTGTCAACTCCTCCTTCACTTTCTCCCCTACACACACACACACACACACACACTACAGCAGGCAAGAATCTTAGATCAGAATGTGTGAAAGCCAAGCTGTACAATCAGCAAACTTGTATGATCATCCTTGATGTGCTAGTTTTATATATGCAGGGAAGCCGTTCCCAGCATGTATAAAATACAGTGGTACCTCAGGTTACATACGCTTCAGGTTACAGACTCCGCTAACCCAGAAATAGTGCTTCAGGTTAAGAACTTTGCTTCAGGATAAGAACAGAAATTGTGCTCCAGCAGCGCGGCGGCAGCAGGAGGCCCCATTAGCTAAAGTGGTGCTTCAGGTTAAGAACTGTTTCAGGTTAAGAACAGACCTCCAGAACGAATTAAGTACTTAACCCGAGGTACCACTGTATGGGGAACCATTCAAACATTTGATCCACCAACTGAGGGCTGAAGTTCTGCAGTCTGCCAACAGATACATGTTATGTCTCTGCTGATCATGCAACTCAGATCAAGCACGCAGATACCGGGGATGCAAAAAGCTTCATTGCCATGCTTTTCAGAAGAAGGCTATTAGAAAAAAACAGCTGATTATTTCTGGAACTCTCCTGTAATGTTGACCATTACTTACCACATTCCATGGCAATGAGTTCCAAACAGCAGTGTTGTAGTGTATGGGAAATAAATGTTTCCTTTTGTTCATTATTGCCTTGCTGTATGCTGATTGCATTGCATGCTTTGTTCAGATCAAGTTATTATGTAAAACACTAAGGAGGTTTCCACTCTTGACACTAAAAGTGCTTTTTTGTATTTTGCAGATCTGTAATATGAATATTAAAACCTACACAGCTAGAATGTAGAATCAATTTCAAATGGTCCTCTTCCTCTTTATATCCCACGTTAGCAACATGCATATAAATAGCAGAAGAGAGGGTCAAAGGTGCTTTTAGTGTCATCTGTGAAAATGCTCTGCACAATATATGTGTAACATTAATGTATTTAAAAATGTTAAAGATATTACATACTTGCCCCCCGCCAAAGTATGCTGACAGTTTAAAATGTCTTGTTTATCCACTTGCAAGTTAGTCTGCTGTCTTAGCACTTCCTAGCAGTGCATGTCAGCTCTGCAATTTGCAGCAACCAGGAATGAGAAAGCAGGCTTTTATTTTCTTATCAAGGGACAAAATGATACCAAATTTTGGGTAGTGCAGGGACAGAGAGCACTGCTGAAGAGTAAAGTTTTCTGAGAGCACAAAAGAGTAAAAAGTTTGAACACCATGTTGTGCACTGGAATTTTATTTAAACAGCTTCATCTAGGCCTGCAATAAATACACAGGATAGATACAGTCATACCTCGGGTTGAATGAGCTTCAAGTTAAGTATTTTCGGGTTGCGCTCCGCGGCGACCCAGAAGTAACGGAGTGCGTTACTTCCGGGTTTTGCCGCTCACACATGCGCAGACGTGGCAAAACGTGACCCGTGCACACGCAGATGCGTGTTACGTTTACTTCAGGATGCGAACGGGGCTCCGGAATGGATCCCGTTCGTATCCAGAGGTACCACTGTACCTGCTTATTCATTTTGGTCAAGTGCTCTGACAACTATGTTCTGAAACTAGCTTTTACCCCCTTAAGTATCATCTCATCGTCTCAATGTATTCTTTTTATTTATGGGACACAAAGGCTGGCATGAGTAAAATGGGAGAGGAAGCTAAAGCTATCTTCAGATGCCTTAAAAGGTAAAGGGACCCCTGACCATTAGGTCCAGTCGTGACCGACTCTGGGGTTGCAGCGCTCATCTCGCTTTATTGGCGGAGGGAGCTGGCGTACAGCTTCCAGGTCATGTGGCCAGCATGACTAAGCCACTTCTGGCAAACCAGAGCAGCGCACGGAAACACCATTTACCTTCCTGCCGGAGCAGTACCTATTTATCTACTTGCACTTTGATGTGCTTTCGAACTGCTAGGTTGGCAGGAGCTGGGACCGAGCAACGGGAGCTCATCCCGTCGTGGGGATTCAAACCGCTGACCTTCTGATTGGTAAGTCCTAGGCTCTATGGTTTAACCCACAGCGCAGTTATAACGTACGGGCAGCTAAAATCAGCTGCCCACTTCCTCAGTTCCCACCCCTTCTACCCTGCATTCAAATCTAATTCCTGCACCAAGCAATCGGGGAAGATTTGGATCAAAGTGCCTGTCACGCTGCTGGGGTTTGGGCCCCCCGCTCCTTCCAGCCCTGTCTTCCCCTTGGAACTGAATAACAGCAGGACTTGCATCTTTGCAACAGCTGTTTCGTTTTGGTTTGGGACCTGCCATCCTCAACCTCTCAAGCTGCAAAACCAGCACACCGGGGCCCTGAGCTCTCCTCCTCACTCTGCTCACAATTCCCTGGCGGAAGAAGCCTCGCCATTGGTCGGCCCTTGCCATGTGACTCTCTGCCAACGTTCCACCTGCCTCCAGCAGAATATTTACTTTAGTGACCCTGCTTTGTGGCAGGGTAATTTCATTGTCTGGTGTTTCTGTCAGAGAAATTAATTACTGCTCATACTCACCAGCTCCCTTGCCCGCACGTCACAGAAACATTAAAAGCAACTGCCAGGGACTTTCAGCTTCCACAGCTTGGGCTGTTTGGGAGCTAGATCCTCTCTGAATGTCAAACCTGCCTCAGAATACCATATAACACCTGCAGGAACCTAGCAAGCGCAGGAATGGATTTTATTGCCTGTTCCTAGCTGGACAAGCATACACATATTGAAAAATGGGGGAGGGGAGGAATACATCCGCACGCAACCCCCCTCTATCTTGGCCATCCACTTAGAGAACACTTGGTTCTCAAACTTAATCCGTTCCGGAAGTCCGTTCCAAAACCAAAGTGTTCCAAAACCAAGGTGCGCTTTCCCATAGAAAGTAATGCAAAACAGATTAATCCATCCCAGACTTTTAAAAACAACCCCTAAAACAGCAATTTAACATGAATTTTACTATCTAACGAGACCACTGATTCATAAAATGACATCAATAAACAATGTATTGCAGTCACACAATCAATCAATCAGTAGCTGAACTGGGTTCCACACAGTCACAAAACAAAACAAAAAAAGCCGCAAAAACAAAAATGCAAAATAAATAGCAAAAACAGACCTCAGCGTAACACTCAAAATGGAAGCGTGGCACTCAAATAATCAGCGTTAACACTCAAATTGTCAGCATAACACTCAAATCGGAAGCGTAACACTCAAAATGGAGCACGTTCAGCTTTCGAAAAAAGTTCGCAGACGGGAACAATTGCTTCTGGGTTTGCAGTGTCTGGGTTCCAAGTTGTCTGAGGACCAAGGCATTTGAGAACCAAGGTACCACTGTATTACAAATAGATAAAGCATCCAGGGCCTCTTCACAAGTGCAATAAATGTCCGACGCAGAAAAGCATTTCTGTGTAAGGAATGGCGCACCACCTAAGTGCAGATCACCTGCAGTAAAAGACCAAACTGAAGGGGGACGTAGTTCACATGTAATAGCAAACCACAGTTTGTCATTAAGAGAATGAGCCTGCGTGAGACCCACACTCCCTCTGCCTCTCTGTTTTGTGCACGTGAGGAGACTTCCGCATTTTCTTTTGAACTAACCACGCAGTTCTACATTTCAACTGAACTTTGGGGTGTAACCTAAGCACAACTAGCAGCCGCCCACTGAAGAAAGAGCTCGCAAGTCCGATGGTGCAGTTGCATCCTGCGTTATTGATCTTGCGTTGGGACGACATGGCCTCCAATATCCCTTCCAACACGAGGATTCCATAACAGGCTGAAGTACAGTACAGATTCCAGTAATGTCTTTTGGTACATTGATGTCACTCCTGGGAAAGAACTTTGAGCCACTCTGTTGAGAAGACATGGCCCCTTGCAAGCTCCAGCACACTTGAATACGGCCCAAGGCTTCTTATTGGAAACCCATAAACCCCAAATTTTTCCTTGTACCCTCACCCATCCCTAGGAAGCTCTTAGCTCACCTTTCACCACCCTGGTGCCCTCTAGATGTTTTGGACTACAACTCCCATTAGCCCCAGTTGGCACAAGCTCTCTGGGGCTGATGGGAGATGTAGTCTAAAACCGTTGGAAGGTACCAAGTTGGTGAAGGCTCTTCTGGCTTATACTGTATGTATCTGAAAACATAACAGCTAAAAATGTTTAATAAAAATGATAAGCAAAGAAATAAATAAGAAGCTTAAATTTAGTATGCTTTGCAACACTCCATATTACTTGCAGAAGTCTGGATCAATTATTTTTTTCATGTCTGAGGGTAACCAAGTTCAAAATATTGCACTGCAAATGCAACATGCTCATAAATTGAAAATTTAACATCTGGCATCTTTAGGAAAGTGATATACCAATCATGCTAATTGCATGCAATGAAAATATGCAAATTAGCTGAGGACCTCTGGTTCAAGACATGTTCCTGATGGGACCTTAAGTGCTATGCAAGTTTCTCATCTCTGCCCTGTAATCCATTCACAGGCTGCATGCCTTGGCATCTTGGTTTTTTATCTCTCCTTTGAAAATGGTATTTGTTTTGACACCTCCCCAGCCTTCCAGCTCAGCTTTTTAACCTGTTTTCCAGAGACTTGGGATTTCATAGGTCACACAGAGTTGAATTGCAGCTGCTGAGCCTGAAGAGTGAAATATTTAATAAGAAGAAACACTCTCCCGCTTCTGCTTTTGTACTCTCATACTGTCCATGAACAGTGTGACTCCACTTTGCAGAGCTGGTGCAGTTGCTGTAAAAAGCAGTGTACTGTTGCGCCTAGAGCAGCCTTCCTGGCAAGCTGGTGCTCTCCAGACATTGTTGGACTACAACTCTCATCAGATTGGCCAATGGTCAGGGATGATGGGAGTTGCAGTTCAGCAACATCTGGAGGGCAACAAATTGAGAAAGGCTGGGCTAGAGGAGGGTTTCCCAAACTTGGGTCTCCAGCTGTTTTTGGACTACAACTCCCATCATCCCTAGTGGTCAGGGATGATGGGAACTGTATTCCAAATACAGCCAGAGACCCAAGTTTGGGAAACCCTGGGCTGGAGCATTGGATTTGAGGACAGGTAAACTCATGGGTGGCCAGCTTACGATGCCTGACTGTGCCTTTGACAGCACATTGATCAGTAGGAATGAGCACGTGATCCTGATTCACTGTGCTGTGAAAAGCTTCACCGGCCTATTTCTGCATATCAAACTCCTGCTAACAGAACAGGGTCAGGCCAAGCTGTTAAGATTGGTTGGCTGCCTTCAGCTCAAGGCTATTCTCAACAGTAAAGGTCAAACAGCACCTCAACTCTGAGCCCAATGTTTTTCAAAGTGTATTCTAGGGAACTCAAGGGTTCCTGCAAAACTTAACATGGGTTCTTCAAAAAGAAGACCACTAATGGTGCACAAATACTCCTGGAATGTAGATAAGACCACTGCTAGCTGCTGCAATCACACCTTGCAATGCACACTGCACCGGAATGGGTGTGTTTCCAGGGCACACCCCGGGATTCTCGATTGCCCTTCTATGCATATTCCAACACACTGAGGGGGAAGTGGGACTGTGTCCCCCCCCCCCGCAATCTACACATTTGTAGCAATATCTGAAAAAAGCCACCACATCCATACAGCTGTACACACATAGGTTTCACAGGTTCACCAGCAATCAAAGGGTCTGATCACATGGAGAGCCTTACACATATGGATGTGGACTCTCCTATTCACAAGCAGATAGCTCAGTTGGTTAGAACATGGTGCTGATAACACCATGGTCACAGGTTTGATCCCCCGCATGGGACAGCTGCATATTCCTGCATTGCAGGGGCTTGGACTACAATTCTAAGTTGAACTGAACACTCAGACACTGGAGAGCACGTTCAGGAGGCAGACAGACATCAGGGATGGGAGAAGCAGCCCATATATCCAGTCCTCCCCACACTAGGTATATGGAAGAAGATGTAAACATCCCCTTTCAGAGTCCCAGTGAGGCCTGCCCCCTTTGAAGTGAGGATATAACTCATACTCCTCTTTAAGCAAAAAAAGGAGAAGTCTGTCTCAAAAATACTGGGAAGGATGAGTGTTGATCGTATTAAATTAGCCCAATACGTTTTGGCTCAAGTGTCTTATTCAGGGGTTTATTTGTTTCTATTCAGACTGCTAAAAAAACCCCATCAACTTCAAAGGCCTTGCGGGGCAAAAACTTGGGAGAATATAGCAATAAATATTCATCCTTTCCAGCATCTTTTTTTAAAAAAAATATTTCTATTGAAACTTTTCAGCATCAAATACAATAAAAACAGGTTAATCTAAATAAAAATGAAAAAAGGAAATAACACAAAAGAAAAGAAAAAGGGAAAGAAGAAAAAATACAAAGCCCTCTATCCGAGGTAGATCTTAAACTGTGTCTCACACAAAAGTGTGTAGACCCTCCCAGCTCTCACCTAGGAGCTTCCCTTTCTTCTGCCAGCATCTTTGAGATACATTTCTCCTTTCTGTTTATATCATCGGATACTTCCTGGGTTTTGTGTATATACTCCTCTGTAAAGCAGACTCGCAGCAGTTCTTTAGCAGACAAGGGTCCTCAGGTGGCGAAATTCCTTGAATGTGTAAAAAGGGCTTGTATGACATAAAGCTTTTTATGGGATAGGACCACTGGTCCATTTAGCTTGCTAATGTCAACAATGGCAGCATCTCTCCAGGACTTCAGCCAGGAGTCCTTTCAGTCCTACCTGGAGATGGCAAGGATTGAATCTGGGACCTTTTGCACACAAAGCATACACTCTGCCGTTAAACTACAGACGTTATCCCATGGTGGGCTTTTGAAAACTACTGCCTTAACCTCTTCAACAACAGAGCTGCTGTGGGTGATGGGATGCACATATAATAAATAAGTTGTTCATCTCATATCCACCTCGAGAGCAGGAAGCCATAGACTTAACAGTTCCACACTAAGCAGACTTATTTGGAAAGAAATTTTCCAAAATAGAACCACAGAGTTGGAAGGACTGTACACGTGATGAGTGGCAGCTGAATATGTGAACTGACTCCACTGGAAAAAGAAAACGGCATGTGAGTTGATACACGTGGTTCCTTTGCAGCATTATGCAGTTGTGTCCGACCATTTATTGACAGAAGCAAGACGCTGCATGCATGTGTGAACCAGGCCTTGTTTTTAAACAGACAAACCATATCCAGGATTGCAGGCCCAATGCGTAATTATAGACACCCTGATAAGCATTCCAGGCTTCCTCAAACAGCAGTGCTGGGTCAGGAATTACAGCTAAAGCCTAACCACAGGTCAATTTACTGTTCTCTCCTTTTTCTTTCATTCAGAGGCTATGGGTTAAGACCTCAGAGGACTTCAATAAGCTGGAAGGAATGAAGTCAGACAACATTCAGGGGTAGGTTTGGGTTACATAGCCTAAGTATAATGTGCAGCAACTATATATTCATCACTGACATGGTAACTGCTAGCCCTTGGTTTCCATAACTAAAATGTTAGGTAATTGAGGGTGTCATAGAGAGGTGAGGGGCAGATTTAACCATGCCTTCCCCCCACTCCTCAAGTATGTGCACTGTTATTTCTGTCTTCTTAAAACAGAGGGCAGGTTACAGAGCAGTTACTTTTGGCCTTGATAAGTATAATTTTACCAAGTGGTTTCTGGAGCCTGTAATTACCACAGAGTATTTAATAGCAAATAGGCTATAGAGCCTATGATTGAAAATTCCACCTTGGCCCATTTTGCTTCTGACACCTGCTATTAAGACTTTAGTAGTAGCCAGAGTCAAAAAAAGACTTCCCTTCATACAGTGCTGCTTCTTAATATTTGTTTGTTTGTTTACAATGTTTTAACTGACCTTCATCAAAAAAAAGATCCCAGGGGAGTTTACACATCTCTCCAGTTAAAATAACAAAATACACAATAAAACAGTAAAATAGAAAATCAAGCGAGAAGTCCTGCTATTAAAGAATCCAAATCATGAAACAAAACTGAAGCAGGGAGCCTAATAAAACAAACAAACAACATTGCTCTGCCTTAAAGAGGTGTGTTTTCAGACCATGCCTAAAACTCAGTAAGGAAGGAGCCAATTGCACCCCTAGGGGGCAACAGTTCCTTGGAAGGGGTAAGGTCTTCTTCTGGGGAGCAGAATCTGGACTTCTCTCTGTCCAAGTCCTACATAACATCGACTCTCATTGACACCTGCCATTTGTCTGTGATATGGCACAGAGGGTACCACAAGATGCAGCTTCTAACCTAACTGACCACATGTTTCCACTTGCGTGAAACCACCCCTATTAATTTTGGCACACTCTCTGAGAAATGTACAGCAGTACAAACTCCCATTTTATTCGGTGCGGCATGTCCAAATAAATAGGCATGTTTCCATTAGCAGGCTGTAAGCAGTATGATGGCATCAGCGTAGACATACAAACAGATATACCTTATAAAGTAGGCAAGAGTCTGGAAGGGAAACACCTGTTCAATTTAAGAGCAGCTAGAGGGAAGCACACATACACAGCTCACAAAAGACTGAAGCCTTGAGCTGGAGGACACAGCACAGCTGTTCTTAGAAACAAGACAAAAGCTTTAGTTATGGTTGTTCCCGTCTGACACACCCTTTTCCCTCTTCATGTTGTTTACTGAAAGGAAGGGTTGAAATTTCACAGACGGAACTACTGATAGTAGCTTGTGCATCTCAGGGGATGCAGTACACAGCAAAATACTTTTCTAAAAAAACCCCCAACAACCCTAGGAAATATAGATCACAACTGCCCTGCTTAATCTATCAATAAACCTATCAGAAAAGTACGTGGTATGCAACCATGTGTAGCCATCATTCAGCAGCTGCTCCCCTTTATTTCCAAACCCAACGGAGAAACAATTTAAATGGTCCCCAATTCCGCAATATTCTTAAATCAGATTTCCATTTCAAAGAGGAGCTAAGCCTAGTTGAAGTGCTCAGCCGAACCAGCACCAGTGCCGTATTTTTCGCTCTATAAGACACACTTTTCCCCTTCTAAAAAGTAAGGGGAAATGTGTGTGCGTCTTATGGAGCGAATGCAGGCTGCGCAGCTATCCCGGAAGCCAGAACAGCAAGAGGGATCGCTGTACACTGCTCCCTCTTGCTGTTCTAGCTTCTGGGATTCAGAATATTTTTTTTCTTGTTTTCCTCCTCCAAAACCTAGGTGCGTCTTATGGTCTGGTGCATCTTATAGAGCGAAAAATACAGTAAGTGAGCCAAAAGGGTACAGTGGTTAGACTGTTGCACTAGAATGAGGGAAGCCCAGGTAGCAATTCCTACTCAGGGTACTGAGAATTGTTAAGAGACCCCTATTCCCCACACAGAACTACAATTCTGAGAGTGGATTAACAATCAATCCTCCATAGGGACCTCTGGGAAGGGGATGGGGGGGTCTCCTAAAAACTCTCAGCATCCTTAACAATCTACGGTATCCAGGATTATTTGGGGAAAGCCAGGATACTGCCTTAAATGTATGGTGCAGATGGGGCCTCTGCTGTTCTCAGGATAGCCTACTGTACCTCCCAGAGTTGTTTTGAGGACAAGGATGAATAAGGAGAACGATGTCCATCATCTGAAGATCCTTGGAGGAAGGGTGGAATCAAAATAAATAATGTGTCTCAGGATTTACAGCACACAGAGAGAAGTGTGATCATGTAAGAGAAAGAAAAAAAAGAACAGAGCTGTTGATTGGCTTGAATAGCATACCTACCAATTCTAACTAAATAACAGTGGGTTTATGTGCCTGTCGGGTGTTGATTCCCGGCATCTTTTGGGTTTAGAGATAAAGGCCTTAACCACTTGGCTAGCTTTCAAGGCCTTGCAAGTACCAAACTTGATACACCCTCCTCTGTCGTTTTCAAGTCACCCCGATTTCCCAAGGTCTGATTGGCTTCCAGTCCTGTCTTCTGATAGCAAGAAAACAGGGAAGTTCTGAAAACCCAAACATGAACCCACATAAGCTCAGATATTTGTTCATCTCTGAACCGATGCACATGCATAGAATTATACTGGTCTGACAATGGGCTAATATTCTTCCATCAATGTAGCATGATGTGGTGGTGCTGAGGCAATGGGAATAAGAGGGGAGGGTGATGTGATGGACAAAAGAGGCTATTCAAAGAGCCTCTTCTTCCCGACCCTGAAGTGTGGGGAACTGCATAATGTGGAAGGGAGGGAGGGGGGTGAAATAATACTGTGCAAACAAAAGCCCTTCCTATGCCAAATCCTGAAAAGATGACTCACAATAGATTGGGTGCTGCATACTCCATCTTTCCGAGGAAGCATCTGACCACCAGGGGGAGAATGACTATTATGGGGTTCCATTTATGCCAATGCAATGAAAGCTAATTCTCCCCAGTTCATGCAAACTGATCTTCCTAGCCCCCAAGAAAAATATCCAACAGTGCTAAACTTTTGTCTCAAAACATTTTTGTTGTTGTATATGTTCCAGTTAATGTTCAAAATGTAAACAGTTGCAAGGGGGTGATCTAATGAACGAGCAAAGGGAGCGGTGAATGAGGGAGAATTCATTATCAACAGAAAACACCATAATTTCAAGTGCAATTTGGGATCGGCAGTATACAGCTTTTGAACGTTCAGTGACATATTATATATATCACAGTTACAATAATCAGTTCAAACACAGGACTCTGCTATTCCCACATCTTCTCTTATCTGTCCTCCAGTTCTGCCTGACACACTTTCACCTCTATCTTTGGCTTATGGGTAATATGCAGAACACAGCTGACAATTCAAGTACGGAAAGCTGGCTTAGGACGTTT